TATTTTATGTATGTCTACTCTATTAATGATAATGTTTTAAAATTTAAACGAGGCATTGCAATTTAAGTTTAAATTTTGAAGTATAAATTTCAAATTCATATAAAATATATTTTTGATATTTAAGTTTAAAATTCGTAAGATTTGAATTTCTTAAACTCTTCGAATCTTAAAAATATACGTAGTATTACAAAGTACTTGTTGCAATATAATTTCAATTTACATTTTAAAATTTAAAATTTCAAAATCCTTTTTAATTTTATTTTTAAATTTAAAACTCGTAAGAAATTGAGTTTTCATATTGAACTTGAAATTGAATTTTTAAGTTCAGGTTTAAATTTTCATATACGTTAGAATTAGAATTTAAATTTATTAAAGTATTCGAATCTTACAAATATGTTAGAAACTAGCCATTGAATTTAAAATTTGAAACTAAAATTATTATTTTTGTATAATTTTTTTATTTAAATTTAAAGATTCGTTTAAATTTAAAATTTAAATTCATTGAACTCTTTGAATCTTGATGTTATATTAGAAACTAGCCGTTAGAATTAAATATTCAAAACTAAAATTTAAATTTTTTGTATGATTTTTAAAACTTAAATTTTATAATTCGTTTGAATTTAAATTTTAAATTTATTAAACTGTTTGAATATTATAATTATATTAGAAACTAACCGTTATAATTTAAAATTCAAAACTAAAATAAAATATTCTCGTATATTTTTTTAATATTTAAATTTAAAAATTCATTTAAATTTAAAATTTAAATTTATTAAAGAGATAATTAACCTAGGTATGACTAAAACTTCTTCACTTTCTCAATCTACGATCTAACTAGCTGTAATTTAAATTTAAAATAAATAAATAAATAAATGATTTTGGTAGACAAATATACCCTTTAGATTATATTTATAAAACCCTAACTCCTACTCTTTTCTCCAACCCTAGCATTTCAGTCTTCCGCCTCCACAAATCAACCCCCTCATGCGCCCGCCGCACACCCCCTCCTGTAGCCACCAGCCGTCAGCCCCCCTTCCGCCACCGCTCCACGGTTCGCTGCCGTCTAGGAGCACAATCGCCGACACTGGTGCATCAAGTTGCTTGCTTGCCCGACCACTCCCAGCCCCAGGCTTGCTCACTGCAGCCACAACCCAGATCGATATCAACGCCCAACCACGGTCCATAGATATATGTGCCGCCGCCATTCCGAGCCATGCTTGCCGCCGCCTTCAGTGCTGGACCATCAAGGACTCTACCGAAGAGGATGGCTCATCCGGACGAGGGTAAGGAGTCTATTCATGTGGACGAAAATGTATATGTCATCTCCTCACTTTAATTTGGGGCAATTGCTCCAGCAAGATTCCCTTTTATGTGTATGAGGATTTTCTTTAGTGGATCATGCAATGACATGAGTTTTGTTCATCGACGATAGTGCTACTATTTCTTTAAACTTTGTACTTCTATTTTTTGTTTTTGTGAACTTAAGGCTTTTGAGTATTGATTATGATTTGTTGACATTAAATATGAGCATTGCACATCGACAATGAACATTTCAATAAAAGTTGTGTATGAGCAGTGAATATATATGGTAATAAACATGTTGTACATGGTAGTGAATGAATGCATTGAGAAATTTTGTTGTGCATTGATTATGACCAGTATTGCAGTAACGCATAGCAGTAATATCATCATGAAATGTAATATACGTATTTAGACATAAAATAATAAAATTATTAAATCTAAAAAATAAAAATAAAAACAAGAAATAAATTCCTCAAGTGAATGAGAAAAGAATTAATTTTGGCGGAAGTGCATTGATTATTGTCAGGTGTGCAGTAAATTCATGCAGTAATGACAATATAAAGTGCAGTAACTTTAATTGAATGAAATAAGTGCAAAATGCACATATTTTAAATAAGGGTATTTTCATCATTCAACCATTAAATATAAACTAGTTTTTTTTGGGATTTTCAGTCATACAAATCTAAAAACTAGTTAAGTCATAGATTGTGAAACTCATTGAGTTTTAGTAATATTCTAGGAAATTTACCTTCATTAAACTCTTTGAATCTTACAATTATATTAGAAACTAGCCGTTATAAACTAGCCTCATTCTTCCACTTCACTAGTTTATACAATTATACTATGTATACCACCGTATAACAAACATAATATACACGCTCTTGCACTTCATCAATGTCTCATCGTTATTATCACTTGTTCAAAAATGTCTCAACGTTCAAATACCGATGAAGAACCCATGGTCCGAAAATACTAGATTAACCAGTTGCGGGAAAGTGCCAATGATCCGATGTCCATATTGAAGTTGCACATAGTAGAGGAGGTTGAAAAGCAAATTGAAGGCAGTGAACGTTCACCGGTAAGACGGGAAAAAAAGTTACATCGATCGTGATCGTGAAAGCGGTCAGTTGCGCCTTTACAAAGATTACTTCTCAGAACACCGATATTTGGCTCCAACATTTTTCGATGAAGGTTCAAATGCGCAAACCTTTGTTTCTCAGAATAGTCAATGCAATAGAATATTATTCCATTTATGCAATAAGGGAAGATGCATGTCGCAAAAAGGGATTATCTGCAATAAAAAATGAACGGCGGCCTCCACCAATTAGCATATGGTACTCTTGCAGATAGTTGGGATGAGTACTTAAGAATGGTTGAAACAACTACCATAGAAAGTTTGAAGAACTTCTGTGAATGTGTGGTCAAACTCTTCAGGAATGAATACTTAAGAAGGTCCAATGTGGAAGACATAAAACGCTTACTTAAAATGCATGAGCGAAGGCATGGTTTCCCGGCATGTTGGGTAGTCTTGATTGCATGCATCGGAAATGGCAGAATTGTCCTGTTGGTTGGAAAGGACAATTCACTAGAGGTGATCATGGGGTCCCAGCCCAACAATTATACTTGAAGCCGTCGCGTCTACAGATTTATGGATATGTCATGTTTTTTATCTTGGAGTTGTAGAGCCACACAACGATGTTAATGTGCTCAATGAGTCTCCATTGTTTAACAATATTTTACAAGGTGTTGCTGTCGAAGTCAACTTCACAGTAAACAACACACCATATACGAAAGGATATTATCTAACATATGGGATATATCCAGAATGGGCTACCTTCGTTATAAGCTTTTCATGCTCCCAAGATCTCAAAAGAAAGAACTTCAATGAAATGCAAGAGGTTGTAAGAAAGGATGTTGAACAAGCATTTGGAGTGTTTCAGGCTCGTTGGGCAACATCATGTATGCATGTATTATTTTGCACAACATGATTATTGAGAACGAAGGAGATGATGCAATAAATTGGTGCGATGATCAGCAAAGTGAACTTAATCTGAAATTCGTGACAATCAACTACATCACCAACTCAGATACGATTTGGTTGAACACATTTGGGCACACTTCTGCCACAACAACTAACTCATTACTAACTTATATATCCCTATGTCATGTAGTTCTCATTTATGCCTTCTTATTTATGTAGTTCTCATTTGTGCTTTAATTTTAAATAATTAAATATTAGTATATCTACTCTTATATGTTAAACGTTTCTAATATATATTGCTATTTATTGAAGTGTTCTAAATTGAAATTTATAGAACAATACACTTTTTTTTTCTATCGAACATCTCCTCTATCTTCACTTTGATAACAAAAAAAATAATAATTTGACAAATTAAAGTTATAAATTATGTCGAACGTATTCTAAAAAGTGTATATAGTCTATTAACAAATAGAATTATAATTTGACTAATAAAAGTGTATAAATTGACAAATATATATTTTGTCAAATAATACACTATAAAACACCTAATAATGTACCATCACTTTATCAACAAATAAAATAATAATTTGACAAATAAAAGGTATAAATTATGTCAAAGGTATAAATAATACTATTGAGACGTTCGACATAAAAAAGTGTACATAATAATTGTATATAAATAATTTTTTACACTTAATCTCACAGTGTACCTAAATGTAATGGTGTACGTACTAAATGTGTGTACTAATCTCACATTGTATTTGAGTGTATGAGTGCATTTAAGTTAGCGATTTTGAAATTGAGTGCATGTCTCATAAAAAATATACGCAAATTAAGATCATGAATGAGGAGAAATTAATAGGTTTGGAGATTATTTGAGATTTTCGTACGTGGAATTGACATGACAATAACAAGAGATAAAAAATCGTAAAATTGAGTATCATGAACGGAGATCGATGCTCTAATGTCGCATGAAAAAAATAATCTCTATTTCTCAAAATTGTGTGTGTTGTGGGCCTTGTGGCACTATATATTTAACATTGTTCAAAGCTATTTGAAGAAATATCAATTTACTCCCGTTTTGTTGGGAAGACGATGATTTCAAGGATTCAGAGCAAATTCGTGTTGATAACGTGTTATGAAATGAAAAGAAATAAACAAAAGATTAGGGAGGAGGGAATACATTAAGTATGCTCTTAAGAGAAATGTTAATTACAACGAGAAAGACTCATATTTATAGGAGAAAATGTGAACTCAAGTCAATCAAAAGATGATCATGAACAACCTCACACTTATCACCCTGATGTCATAATTATATTTTCCAATGATCATGATATTAATAGAGTAATTCCTAATCGTGAATAGTTAGAAGATGAATACTTCATTTATATTTTAATAACACAAACATACTCCCTCCGTCCCGTTAGAATGTTCCCGCTTTCCTTTTTTGGATGTCCAGTTGGAAAGTTCCCATTTCCCTAAATGGAAAGTTATCCCACATCAAAACAGGGTCAAACAGTGCAAAACAGTGTCAAACAATGTCGAAACAGTGCCAAACAGTGTCGAAACAGTGCCAAAACAGTAAAATTTACCCCCTTGTAAATTTATTTCCTTAATATGTGTGTAGGTCAAACCGGGAACATTACACCGTGACGGAGGGAGTATTTAACAATCCATCCAAATCTAGCTTAAGGATTGACTGTTTTTTTTTAGAAGAGGTACTTGCTGTGGCTAGGCCGCTGGGGGATGAATCTTGCTTGGGTCAAAAGAATAAATGAATAACAAAGAAATAAGTAAATACGTATGGGAATTTTGCGCGGCCCCTACCCAAGCAGAATTCAGGCGAAATTTCGGACCATATATGCGGGTCTGATCCTTGGTTTAGAGAGCTCCGTCGCAAGTCGAAATTGAAGTTTTTTATCGGCTGAAATTTCGATAAAAGATCGACCGGAGAAGAATAAACAAAGACTCCGAGAGTCGAAATTGAAAATAGACGGCGTTCCGTCGATTTCCAGACGTCAAGGAATATCAGCTTGATGCTGGTGGTCGCCGATTAGTGAAATTCTGGACCGTATCGTCGATTTTTTCATCCCTGCGGCTATCCCAATTTCTCCGTTTGAGGCTATCGCAACTGGTATGTTTGCATGGATTTTGTCTTCCATCGACACTGACATGTTTTAGATTCTTCAAATTGGTGGTGTTTTTCAACTTTCAAGCTGTGTCCGTAGTTGGCCAATTTGTCCACAGTTAACTAGTTTAATTATTTTATTCTGTATAATACGTTAGTGTATGTTTCCAGCTGATGCTACGTATTTTGCTTGTTTTATTCCCTATTAAGAAAAATAAACAAGCACACCTATATAAACTGTGCAATGATTGATTCTCATTTCAGGACGATATGTCATTGATGGGCTCCCTATCCGCCCATGGATATCCTCATTCGGTCAGTTTTTTTAATCCAGAAGCGCTTGTTTTCTCCTGATTATATTGTACCTGTTCAGGATTCCAGTTGGTCTGGATATTTTCTGAGTGGACCCTTTTTTCAGGACCTGTTTGATCAATAAATTCTTCTTTTATGTTGTTTGGTGGTGGGTTTGATTGGGAATCTCAAACTAGATTTCTGTTGACTTGAAACTTCCAATGATTGCGATCAGGTAGTTCTTAGTCATAGAAGCTGTTTAAGTATTTAAGGTGTGAAATCAATTGATGGATTGAGTGTAATGTTTGATGTTCGATGTATGTCGGTTGATGAAGAAGCTTCATTTAACTGGTTATTGAAAAAAATGATTTATTAGGAATATGTTGGATTGTCTTCCATTTGTTGGTTGGCCAAAAGTGAGATGTTACTAGCAAGCAAATGAGCATAACAACACAATGAGACGCAGACAAGGTTTATTGTGTAGATGGATTCCTCGGATAGGACATTCCTCGACATCATAGGGCTACTAAAATCTTGGATCCCTTGGCGGTCTGAACCTGCTAATGTGTCAAGGGATTTTTGGATGCCTGATCAGAGCTGTAGGGTATGTTATGAGTGTGATTCTCAGTTCACATTGTTCAACCGTAGGCACCATTGTAGGCTCTGTGGGCGAGTTTTTTGTGCAAAGTGCACATCTAATTGGGTCCCGCCACCTCCCAGTCAGCAGACATGCACACTTCCCCAGGAGGAAGAACGGGAAAAGGTCAGGGTATGCAATTACTGTTTCAAGCAAAGGGAACAAGGTTTAGCATCATCATTAGCTGATAATGAACATCCAGTTGCTAACCTGGACGAGTCCAGTAGTTCTATTTCAGCAACCAGTTTTATTAGCTTCAAATCTAGCGGTACATGTAACAGCAGTAGCATTACTGTTGCATCAATGCCATTTTCTGCCACTGAACTTATTATTAGTCCTCGCCAGTCAACGATTATGGAGTCAACAATAGACAAGAAGAGTTTCATTTCAGCTAGAAGTGGTTCTCATCTAACCGACGCCAACATGGGAGTTTGCAACCATTCTTCAGATGGAAGTGCATTTTTCACTTCAAGGTACTAATTTTATATCTTTTGTCATTATGTTGTTGTGTTTAGCTAATTCACTTCTGTTGCACAAGTATTGGGTTCTTAAATAATTGATATCCTTTGCCACAGTGTTGGCTTTGTACTTGAAAGTACTATTGGGCTGCTAAGAGCTTGGTTGAATTGGTTTGATCTTGTAAAAGAGGCATTTTTAAACAGTATCTACTCTGGAGTTTCTTGAAAATTGAGTTTTCCTCTTATCTAGCTTAGTTAGTTCTTGTTTGGGAACCTACAAGGCTACAATTTCAGTTGTTTTTGAAAATTTAATCATGTTAAGGAACATTCTGTTTTTAGTGTAACTGTTTTCATAAGTCTCAGCTGATTTTGAGAAGTTGGAAATTTGTAGTTTTTGATTATCTTCAACAGCTTTTTTTACCCCAGGTGTTCTATACCATTTCACCTTGTACAAACTATTTTTTTTTCATCTGAACGAAATTAATTAATTTCATACCACTTTACACTAATCTTTTCCCAAATTGATGTTTCTGATTAGAATTGATTATTTAAATATTCCAATATTTTGAGCTGTACCAAACACACCCTATGTGCCTGACTCTTTTTTGTATTTTTATTTTTTAGTTGCTGTTATTTTGTTATAATTATTACCATTATTATTGGACTATAGTATCCTTAAATTAATTAGGTCAACCATGCAGTAAGCCTTTGAAAAGATCATTGCCCGTTTTTGGAAATCAGGTGTGAAGAAGAAGAAGAAGAATATGGTGCTTACCAGGGAGGTTCACAAAGAAACCATGCATTTGAGGGAAATGACTACTATAATCACATTCAGTATGATGGTGAGTTTGGATCGCAGCAAGTTCATCCAGATGTAGAAGCTGTTGATACAAAAAGCATGAGCAGCTCCTCTGTGCATAATAGCATGGACTCTCAGACTTCTGAAGAAGTTCAGCAGATTATGAAGAAAGAAGGTGAACCTGACATTGGTTATGAATGCGAAACATCTTCGTCTTTGTATGTTGCAGAAAATGTCAGTGTTGAACCTGTGGATTTTGAGAACAACGGGGTTCTGTGGCTTCCTCCTGAACCCGAAGATGAAGAAGATGAAAGGGAAGCACTTCTGTTTGATGATGATGACGATGATGATGGTGTTGCTGCTGGAGAATGGGGAACTCTTCGTGCTTCTAGCAGTTTTGGTAGTGGGGAGTACAAAAATAAAGACAAGTCAAATGAAGAGCATAAGAGTACCATAAAGAATGTGGTTGATGGGCACTTCAGGGCATTAGTAGCTCAGCTTATGCAGGTTGAAGATCTTTCTTTGGGCTTGGAAGATGAAAAGGACAATTGGCTGGACATAATTACATCCCTTTCATGGGAGGCTGCTACATTATTAAAGCCAGACACCAGCAAAGGCGGGGGAATGGACCCTGGGGGATACGTCAAAGTCAAATGTATAGCTTCTGGTCGCTGCAGCGACAGGTAAAGGATTTATAAATGGAGCTATAATAGCGTTTTGTGCATAAAGCTATTTTGATTTGCTGTACTCTCTTCTCCTATTGAACTATCCTCTTCTTAAAGTTTTTGGTGTTCCATTTTATTTCCATTTAGAAAAACCATACAACGTTATGTACAACAGTTACCTTTCAAAATTAAATAAGGAGCAGATTGAGAAACATGTGTTAAATGTCAGTGAGTTAATACATGTGGTGAACTTGGTAAGGACTAAGAAGACATAAGCTGTGATTAATTTGAAAACCCTAGGTAATTTTCCTAATATGCTGTTTTGGATAAAGTGGAAATATAAATAAAAAACGGAGGGAATATTTATTTCTGCTTCCAGACAGAGTTTGTAGTATTTGATGGAAACAGCCAGCTGTTACCTAGAACCTGTCTTGTATTATAAAACATGTATTTTAGCTTTTAACTGTCACAGTTGAAATTGAAATTAAGTTGATGTTCACCAAAATTTCAAATTGGTTTCGCTTTTGAGCAGAAGTTTTCTCAGAAGCTCATCTTGCTATATGATAAATCTGGCGCACCCATAGTTACATAAATCGCTGAAGACCCCGCGATCTGCGTTCCGAACGATCCGTACCCAATCGCGGTACGAAAGCGTTCCAAACGCTACAGGGATCGCTTTCCGATACGGTTCCCAGGTCATTCCCAATCGCTTAGGAATGTGTTCGCATCTGCCCTCCATGTCGTTCGCAACTGGTTTCCAGGTCATTCGCAACTGGTCTCCAGGTCGTTCTCAAATGCCATCAACAATCACTGTTTCCTTTCTGCGTGCACATGTGAAGACCCCAAGCGTTCCTGAAGACTCAAACAAACCTTTTCGTTTTCTGCTCTAGGTCATCAACAGGGTCGAACCAGAGTACCGGACTCTGTGTATTCCTACGCCACTTACTCTTCCCCGTGTCGCCTATTTAATGGAGTGAAATTCATTTTTCTGTTTTAAACTTTAATTAATGTTTCTGTGTTTTCAATTGAGTCTAGAGTTTCTACGTGGCACAATTTTAATGTTATTTATTTTGTATAATGCTATGAAATCATGTTATGAAATCTGTTTTTATTTAATTTTATGAAATCTTTAATTCAGTTTTATTATAGTACCAAAACATAAGGTACATCGTACTGAACGCGTACTGAACGCGTACCGAACATGTACCGAAATGAACCTACCCCCCTCCAAATCGGATACGCTAGATCTAGCGAACCACGTTCCCATTCCTCGTTCCCGTATCGAACCGTACCGCGAACCATGTGACTATGGGCGCACCTAAAATATTTAATTTAGAGATAACTCTCATCTTATAAGCTGTTTCATTGTTTGAAATATAGTTTGTGAAAATGGTGAAACTACTTACCAAACTATAAGAAGCTTGTGGAATGTTGGTAACCCATTTGTAGTGTAAGGAGCACATTCTTAGTTACAAATTAGCTTCTTGTCTTGTACCTTAACACATCTTCTACTGACTGCATCATTTTTTCGTGTGTAGCATATTGTTGATTAGTGATATGGCATAGTGTATTAATCAGATGCATCACCCTGAATGTATTTTCTTCTCATATGTATAAAATTTCACCTTGAACAGTGTGGTGGTCAAGGGAGTTGTTTGTAAGAAAAACGTGGCGCACCGACGCATGGCATCAAAAATAGAGAAACCTCGCATATTGATCCTTGGAGGCGCCCTTGAATACCAGCGGGTTTCTAACCTCTTGTCTAGTGTAGATACTTTGTTGCAACAGGTTATCATCCTGAATGTTTTGTTTGAAATTTAGTCCATGTCGATGTGTTTCAAAAAACTTTTCACCTGTTTCTTTTGCACATACATGCAGTTAAAACTCAAAATATTAATGTCCATTTTGTGTTTTGGGAATCAAGGAAATGGATCATCTCAAGATGGCTGTTGCAAAAATAGATGCACACCAACCTGATGTTCTATTAGTGGAGAAATCTGTTTCTCGCTATGCACAAGAGTATCTTCTAGCCAAGGACATATCACTTGTTTTAAATATAAAAAAGCCTCTTTTGGAGCGTATTGTCCGGTGCACGGGTGGTCAGATAGTTCCTTCAATTGATCATCTATCATCACAAAAGTTAGGATACTGTGACTTGTTCCATGTCGAGAGGTTTGCAGAAGAGCATGATGCTGATGGGAAGTGTGGAAAGAAGACGAAGACACTGATGTACTTTGAAGGCTGTCCAAAGCCATTGGGGTGCACTGTAAGTTATGAGCTATCATTTACGGGTTCAACTGTAAAGTTGTCAAAATAGAAATTTTACAGTGCCAGATTATTTGCACTAGGTCTCAGCTTAAATTCCATTCACCTGTCATGCCCTTTCTTCCAGGGCCAGAATAAGTTTTAGCTCCTCCCTAGGGTTTAGAAGGTTATAGACATATTCCAAACAGAATTGTTAGTATACAAGGCACTCAAAAAAATCATTTTTTTCCTGCAATAATTTCTTCTCAAACTTATTATTAGGTGGTATCTTCTCACACTTCTGACATCTTATTAGAGTATTTAGTAAAATATATGTACTAAATACTTTATGCACTTTCTTGTTTGAATCAGGTATTACTTCGAGGTGGAAAAAGTGATGAGTTGAAGAAAGCGAAACATGTAGTGCAATATTCAGTTTTTGCTGCTTACCACTTGGCTCTGGAAACGTCATTTCTTGCAGATGAAGGAGCCTCTCTTCCTGAATTCCCTTTAGGTTCTCCCATTACTGTGGCACTTCCGGATAAAACATCAACTATTGGCAGGTCCATCTCGACAATCCCTGGTTTCACAATCCCTTTTGGTGAAAAGACGCATGCACCCCCATCTAGTAGTGATCCACAGAGGTCATTCAGTGTGCCCACTGCTGATATGGTAGAGGCTGCCAATCTCTGTACTCAGGAGTTCGAGACAACAGATTTTGCTACCCTATATGCTGCTATTAACACCAACTCTATACTCCCATCCGTTACATCTCCTCAGCAAACTACTTCAAAATCTACCCCAGATGAGTCCTCTTTCTCTCATGCACATGTGGAGAGAATTATAGCATCTTCCCTGGAAGAACCTTTATCAGTAGCAAACAATATCTCTGAAGAGCTGAGAGACCATCCCGTATCCAATTGCTCTAGTTTTTCAGTTAACCAGGAACAAGGTTTTCTTTCCAATAATGTGCAAAGCACTTCTAACGAGGATGTTAATCAAATTGTATCGAAACCAGTTTTGCAACAAGAGGGAAAACTTGGTCATGAGGACTCAGGTTCTTTCAAGGAAGGGTTTCTTCCACCATCATCTGACCACCAGAGTATTATAGTCTCCTTATCATCCAGGTGCGTGTGGAAGGGGACTGTTTGTGAAAGATCACATCTTTTCCGAATCAAGTACTATGGGAACTTTGACAAGCCATTGGGCCGTTTTCTGCGAGATCACTTGTTTGATCAGGTAAGCTCTTTTCCATCCCTCATTTCAACCACAAGCATCACACACACATAGGATCTAAGATTAATGTGGTTTTTAATTTATGGACAGAATTATAGGTGTCGGTCGTGTGAGATGCCATCAGAAGCACATGTTCAGTGTTATACCCATCATCAAGGAACCCTCACGATTTCAGTAAAGAGGCTATCAGAACTTTTTTTGCCAGGTGAAAGGGACGGGAAAATTTGGATGTGGCATAGGTGTCTAAAGTGTCCACGGTTTAATGGCTTTCCTCCTGCAACTCGAAGAGTGGTGATGTCTGATGCTGCATGGGGTTTGTCCTTTGGGAAGTTTTTGGAGCTCAGTTTTTCAAACCATGCAGCTGCTAGCAGGGTTGCAAGCTGTGGCCATTCTTTGCATAGAGATTGCCTTCGCTTTTATGGGTATGATCTTGTTATGTTTTTTAAGAGTAAACCTGTCTTCTCATTGTTTAGTTAGTTTTTTCTTTTTAATTTTTAAAGACGAAATACATACTTGCATAGCCATGCCTCCTAAAAATTCTAACTTGGGGCGGGATTGAAAATAAAATATCTATATAGGTTTTTATTGTAATATTTGGCACATTTTTGGTGAGTGTTCTACTGAATATGTGCCTGCATGAATACCTAGAATTTTAAGAAATGATTCTTTATGAATTTCATCATTCCATTACTTTTTCGCAGTTTTGGAAAAATGGTTGCTTGCTTTCGCTATGCTTCAATTGATGTTCATTCTGTGTACCTTCCACCTCCAAAAGTTGATTTCAACTATGAGAATCAAGATTGGATACAACAAGAAGTTAATGAGGTATTAAGACTGTCTTTGGAATATCGAAGCATGTTCCACACTTTGATGATGATCTCTTGACGTGATTTTTTTATAAATCAAAACAGGTTGTTGGCTGTGCCGAGCTTTTGTTTTCTGAAATTTTCAATGCACTTGGTACTTTGGCTGCACAAAAATGTGCTCTTGTTAACCACAGCTTCAATGTACCAGACACGAGACACCAGATGACAGATCTGGAAGGGATGCTGCAAAAGGGGAAAGCAGAGTTTGAGGTGCGTACCTTCACATTATCCATTTATGACATGGTCTTGATGACCTTGTATTTTGAATGTCTTAACTTTCTTTTCAGTGGAGATTTATCTATTCACACGCTGCATGGTTTTTTCCACTTTTGATATTCATAGTCTTTTATCTATTGACAGGAATCCCTGCAAAAGCTTTTTAACAAAGAAGTGACAAAAGGCCAACCTGCTATTGATATTTTTGAGATTAATAGGCTAAGAAGGCAACTACTTATTCAATCTTATGTGTGGGACCGCCTGTTATCTGCAGCCGGTTCTGATAAAGGAAGTCTTGATGAAGCTGCATCTACTTCAGATGTAGACAAGTCAGTTATTAATAATGTGAAGTACAATGATCCTGACATTCACCTCAAGCCAAGCAAAGGTTTATATGCTCCTGATCATAGCACGGCAAGTGAAAGACTGGATGATAATGGTGAAGGTCATCTAGGAGGTGATGGAGGTCTTGATTCTAATAATCTAATCGGTAATCCAAACAGTCTATCATTTGTAATAAAGGTTAGTGATCCTGATCCTCCCGTCCTTCGTAGAGTCCTTTCCGATGGACAGTTCCCAATCATGGAGAACTTGTCCGACACTCTGGATGCAGCTTGGACAGGTGAAAGTAGTATGGGTGCTGATCTGGCAGCTATCGGAGACTCTTCAGCCAATGGAGTTGCAGAAAAGGTGGATGTTGAAGATGGTGGAGAGGAACTTACAAGTGTGCTTAAATTGTTTGTGCCTTCCCTCTTGTCCTCCAAAGGCTCAGAAAATATGGAAGATTCAGTGAGCTGGTTAGGAATGCCTTTCATAAACTTCTATAGGTCATTGAACAAAAACTTCTTGGTTGGTAATGCTCAAAAGCTGGACGCAATTGGTGAGTACAATCCTGTATACATTTCATCCTTCCCTGGGTCAGATTCACCAGGCGGCGCTAAGTTGCTTCTTCCTGTAGGGGTTAATGGTATTGTTATACCAGTTTACGATGATGAACCCACAAGTCTTATATCTTATGCACTGTTTTCTCGTGACTACTCTGTCCAATTGTCCAATGATCTTGATAGACCAAAGGAATCTACGGACTCAGTGGATGATATTGTATCTGGAGATGAGAGTATTCTGTCCTTGTCTGGTTCTCGTACTATGGACCCACTTATATATACAAAGACAATGCATGCCAGAGTCTCTTTTTCTGATGACGGGAAAGCGAAATATACAGTGACCTGTTACTATGCAAAGCGTTTTGAAGCTTTGAGAAAGATATGCTGTCCCTCTGAGGAGGATTACGTGAGATCGCTTAGTCGTTGTAAGAAGTGGGGAGCCCAAGGAGGAAAGAGCAATGTCTTCTTTGCAAAGACTTTGGATGATCGATTCATTATTAAACAAGTAACAAAGACGGAGCTGGAGTCGTTCATTAAATTTGCTCCGGGATATTTCAAGTACCTTTCCGAGTCAATAAGTTCTGGAAGTCCAACTTGTTTGGCAAAGATTCTGGGGATTTATCAGGTAGCTTAGTTCTTGTTTTACATTCAACTACTCTAGTTGCAGTTTTATTTGCAACATATGATGACTTATAGTCGAGTCTCATGTTTCACATGCACAGCAACGAGCAAGAGTGAAATGTTTTACTAGATCCTAGTTCGGAATTACGCTTACTTATAAAAGACATGTTGCTTCAACGTGTCAACTCCCAAATAAGAATAAAAGCAGATATCTAATGCGTCCCATGCTGGAAGTGATTTCTATGGTAAAAGTAGAAATCATAAATTTTAACTAGTTTCCCATGTGGGAAAACACAACTTGGGGACTTATATGGTTATACCCCTCTTAATAGAAGTGGGCTTGAGGGAATCAAGTCTTATTACCAATGGAATAGATTTTGATGGCCCGACCACCCGCTACATTGTTATTGTATCTACGAAAAGAATGATTCTTTATCATTTTGGCAGTAATCAACTGCTTGCTGTTCACGGTGATGTTTAAGTAATAAAATAGTCTTGTCATGATAGCAGGAATGTTTACATGCGGATGAAAAACATTTCTTATTTTATTCTGAATTATAATGAAACCTAGTAGATTTCATCTTTAACATGAGTTGTGGCCATCTGAAGCTTCATCATCTTGCTCTTGTGTAATGTGAAGGTTACATCAAAGCATCTCAAAGGAGGGAAGGAATCTAAAATGGATGTTCTGGTAATGGAGAATCTTCTATTTGGAAGAAAGATTACACGGTTGTATGACCTCAAGGGATCTTCAAGGTCTCGCTACAATCCAGATTCTAGTGGAAGCAACAAGGTTTTGCTTGATCAAAATTGGATTGAATCGATGCCTACATCTCCCATTTTTGTGGGAAACAAAGCCAAGAGACTTTTAGAGAGAGCTGTCTGGAACGACACTGCTTTTCTCGCAGTAAGTTACCTTACATTCTTAATTTGTTTATTTAAATATAGGATAATAGGAGTAGGCACGGGTCAGGTGCAACCGTGCAACCTGTTTTTCCTTTTTCTTTTATGTATTCAACTTGAAATTCTATGCTCTGGTCCGGATTTGGTAACATCTGATCAAACTCAATTTAAAATTTTCAAACTATCAAAACATGAGTTGGGCCTAGGGTTTTACAAAAATACGTTAAACCCAACCAGATCCCCAATATTACAAACACATGATTTAAAATAACCAATGTAGTTCAATCTTACAGGAATTGATGAAGATGTGTTTGCATCAATAGGGGATATTTTTAGTTTTTTACTATATTATTGGCGCCTTAACAAAATTTATTGGAAAATTCTCGAAACAAGAGTTAAAGCAATGTGAACTTTCAATACAGCTGTACTATGGGGGTGTTTGGATCTACTTCTTAAAACCGCTTCTGCTTCTTTAGGGAGCAGAAGCAGATATTGGAGTGTTTGGGTGAAATTGTAGAAGTTCTTTTGGGTGCTCCAAATTGCTTCTAGGAGCAGTTTTTTAGAAGCTTGGGGAGACCAACTTATGAAAAACTGATTCTGATTCTGCTTCTGATTTTAAAAGACCCAGAAACAGAATCAATTCCAAACACCCTCTATGTTCTTTCCCTTAAATTGGAGTGTACTTCAGTGCCATCTTGAAAATTTACTTCCATATTTTGGCATTACCATGCTTTAAATACGGGAGTACACGGTCATAATTGACAATATTTTACAAGTATGACAGTAGTTATTCCTATTTAGGGAATATAATTTTAGTTTTATTTTGGAATTCCAAAATGTTTTTACTCCTATTTTGGGCAATTCTATAAATTTATTTCGATTTGAACTTATTAGAATGATAGCAAGGTTGAAGATGGAAATGAAATCATCTCATTGAGAATGATCTGTTACAGAGTATTTATACATGTAGTAGTCTCAACAGACTAACAACTAACAATGTAGAAGCCTAACAGACTATTAACTACCGTACACTTACAAATAAGCACACGTGCAGTTATATACACTATACCTAACAGAACTAAACTTTATTAAATTTGAAATTCTGGATTTTGGTAACCTGAACCCAATGAGACCCGATTCATTTCCACAATCCCACCTGAACCCGAATTGCACCAGAAGTTTTTAGGGTCTATTTTTGTGTCTTGTAAATTACTACTCGAGCACTTCGGGTTCAAATTTACGGTTGCGGTTGAACCCGACCCATGCTTAAACCTAGTTAAATGGATTTGCTGTTATAACTAGTGACGAAGAAGAATATCACTTTTATTTTTTAACAATGTTGCTGCAGTCAGTTGATGTAATGGATTACTCTCTACTAGTTGGGGTTGATGAAGAGAAGCATGAACTAGTTCTTGGAATTATTGACTTTATGAGACAGTATACGTGGGACAAGCATCTAGAGACTTGGGTTAAAGCTTCTGGGATCCTAGGTGGTCCCAAGAATGCTTCCCCAACTGTAATCTCACCTAAGCAGTATAAAAAGAGGTTCCGGAAGGCTATGACCACCTACTTTCTGATGATTCCAGATCAGTGGTCATCTTCCACCACGGTGGGTAACAAATCGCAGACTGATTTGCTTGAGGATAGCACTCCCTGCGCCCCTACCTCAGCAGAGTAGTAATTTTGTAGGTTTGTTTCTTGGGATACATCTTCTAAGCATTTATTAAGGTCACACACACACACAGAACCCTACCAGCTACCCGACACTTTTTCTTCAATATTCTTCAGGGTGGCGCTTGAATTTGATTTCATCCCAGGGAAGAGGGAATGCACATATATGGTTGATCTGTGATTTTGTTTTTAATATGATCACCACCTACCTGTCTCAACCATAGACAGATACCTCCATATTCTTTTGTACATGTTTTTTTTTGTCTGCGAGTTGTATATGTGATTCAATTAACTGCCACTGCAGATTTTGTGTAATATATGCATTTCTTTTAATGTCCCTTTGATATGTTGGGAGTTGTACGTTTTTCAATTTATTAGGTCAATCTTGAGTTGAGTATACTTTTTCTTTGGGTTAAGCGGTTAACAAGTTAATGTGATCGAATTGTTTGCGTTTAAATAACATACACGTGACTTCATACAACTTTTAATCTTTTATTATATGTACAAATGCAAATATTTGGCAACTTGGTATTATAAAAAGGACTCCTAAAATATGTACGTATTATTAGTGATCTATGAATGAAAAGTGATATGGAGTATTATTTAATCTTATGTTTTCAAATGATCTTTTTTTCAATTGTATTGAGAGAAGGGATCATAAATATGTCGTGATGTCGTATTAATGTATTATTAATGATTTTTTTTTGAAAAATATGTTAATTTATCGATTATCGGGTGTTGAAGAATGAAGATACACGTTGATGACATGATTCCAAATTTCCGATTGCTATTTTGAGTCGCGGGGTACAAAGTTTGATGTAAATAAAGATGCAAATTACTTAGTATTTCAGCAAGATTTTTTGGATACATCACTAAGCCACTAAGGGCATTTCATCATGAATGAGATTGTAGAATTGTGGAACTATCAAAGAATTAACATGAACTTGCAAATAACACATATGGGCAATATGGCTCATGGAGTAAGAAATGAAATGAGGAAACGAGTTAACAACATTCAAAATTTAAGGTCGACTAAGATATACTCCCTCCGTCCTGCTAACAATGGGACAAGAGAGTGACGTAAATTAATAAAAAGTGGTTTATGTGGTTGATATTGATTTGATAAAGTAAGAATAAAGTAATAATGATTTAGAGCTACACAAACTTTACCAAATTTGATATATGACAATTTTAGTGGGACGCACCGATAAGGTAAAATGGGACAATCATAGCGGGACGGAGGTAGTACTAAATTGGAGCTAAAATGATAAGATAAAAGAAATAAGTTAAAAAGATAAGATAAAAAAAGTAAAGAAGATATGAAAGATAAAAAAAGAAAGTAAAAATAAAAAAATAAAATGGGATCAATACTCCATAGTCCATACTATATTCTTCATTCACTTCATTATTTTAAAAGCATACTTTCATCCAACATAACAAGAATTGTAATGCATGTCCCTTTTTGTCTTCCCCTCCCTCCCCCTCCCCCTCTCCCCTTGTGCTCCCAACTCTCAACTTGTCTAACATGTGAAATAATCGGTCTTTTACGCACATGTTTGAACCATCACAATCGAGACTCTAACATCTTAACTTCAATATGTGTCACTCCCATCTTTTGCTTGATTGTCTCTCTTCTCAAGCGATAATTTCTACTACGTAGTATGTTCACACATTCAATGCAAATTGTGCATTTTAGCCACACTTATCTTTTTAATATGACACTGTTTCAATACTCGACACCTTACACATACAATAATGCAGACCTAATTGTTGTCCGATAAAATTTACTCATTAGTCTAGTCAGAGTACCTCTAGCACATAGAAAGGTTGTTACAATATTCCATTTTATCCACCTTATTCTCATTCCAAAGGATACATCTCCATCTATTTTACTGTCTTTCTAAATTATGGAGTTTAAGTAACAAAATATATCATTGACTGATATCTTCTAAAGGCTATCTATATTAATCCCATTGTTATTATTACTTCTACCTCTACTAAACATGCACTCCACATACTTAGATTTGTGCTTTGACTCGGTCTGAAACACTTGTTCTCCAGAGTTTGTCGTCACACTTCCAACCTTTTTTTAACACCTGATCTTGTCTCATCAATCAACATAATAGCGTCGACAAACATCATGCAACACATTATAATTGACTCCGTGTGTTTATTCATGACTATAACAAATAAAAAACGATGATAAAATGAGTTAGTGATTAGATAAAAATTAAAAGGAAAAAACTTATTGGAAAGTACTACAATGGTCTTTATTAAAGCTTGTCATAATATTTAATTGTGTTAATTAAATGTGGTGTATTTGTTTACACAACTAACTGAAAACAATATTTTTTGAACTTTTTAGTGATTGAGTTATTACTTTTTAGTAACCCAAAAAGTTTTAAAAGTAAAAATTCTAGCTAATAATGCTAAGTGTAAAAAATTTTCTCTAAGAAGTTACTCTTATTACTAGTTATTAGTTCTAAACAATTAAAATTCTAAAATGTTCTGAAAAAAAGTTTTGCACATATACAATTAAGAGATATTTCGTATTAGAGACTTGAAATAATGACCAAAATAATACTCCGTACTACCATAACATGGAAAGACAAAAATAAGACCTAGTTTAAATTCGGCCCTCCTTCGCGGACCTTCAGTTTTACTGCGTACACCTCTTTTTTCCTTTAGTGACAGATTTGTCCTCTTTCAAATTTGAACTAAATTATTGCTTTTGAAATTATCTTAACATATCACGCGATGCGCGAAACTTACGTAGGGGACTAACCGTATTGCTTTTCAAATTTGTGCTCTTTCACAAAATTAAATGCTAAGATTTTAGTTTTAAAAGCAAAACAGTTGTTAGATTTCCTTAATTTTTACTCGGTATCTAACCTTATTCCTAAAAATTAATTCTCTTTAAAATATAGTCAAAAACCAATTACAAATTCCAACTACCACCAAATATATAAATATTTGTAACATAATATAATACTATAATCTCTTATATATTTTTTTCAATCTTCTTGTACAATGAGTGATGAATATGAATATTGTATAGAAAAGTGTACTCTTGACTTTCATTCTTACGAGGTATCTATTTATCTCAATTTATATTAATCACTTCATATGTCAATTATTAGTATCTGAGTTTTTATTTTTGATCTGTTTCATTAAGCTTATCTCATACATTGTTCGATAATATTGGGTGATCATATATATATATATATATATATACATATATACTTTTTCATTCATCTTTGTATTGAATATTGTCTTTATTAAATTATCATATAACTATAATGGACACTTTTTAAGATGTTTTAAATTTGACTATTTTCGATTCCAGACCAAATGAGACAGACATAAACCGACCATTTTTGGTAGTTGTATAACACACAAGACATACATCTAACATATCAGACCAGTTCATAATAGACCAAAATGAAATAGAACAAATCAGGTCATACCAGATTTTGACTAGACCTTAAAATTTCAATCAAATTAAAAACATCCTTATTGATAGTATCATTTTAAATTAAAGTCTCATAATAAACAATTTAGAGAATGTCGTAATGCTATAAGAAAATATGTATGATTTGTATTCATTGATAGATATATAGCGTATATATAATAAAAACATAAATGTTTGGTTTTTATTTTGCGTAATTTTAGATTGGATTATATATTTGAATGAGTAACATTTTTAATACTAGTAAACTAATTATCTTCATTTTTTTCTTTGACTAATTTAAAAGGTGGGGGTCTCCACATTTTAAAACTTGATCATCACCATTCTGATTCTGCATTAAGACAATATACTACGTATGTTATTTCAGCTGGTATGAGCAGACATTTGAATGACATTTCAGCTGTTTTTATTTAAATTGAATCATATCTAGATACATTAAAACAAATGAGGTTAGATCAAAATAGATTAGATTTAAGAAATAGTAAGTACACATTTATCGTCCGCTCACCAGACTAGTCAAAATAGATTAGATTTAAAGATTAGTAAATACACATTTATCGATCGTTCACCCAACCAAACTTTAACATACCTGATCATTTTTTTATAAATTTTACATACGTATATGGGTGTCATATGAAAGATCGTGGAAAATTATCTAATTTGATATAATTTTTACAAAAATTGGAGCACAAATTAAAAAATTATACCATTTTATAAATAAATAAAACTTACCACAACAATGAGTTATTTGATGAGGAGTAAATTCAAAATTGTTATGGAGCAAGTCATGTGATTTCACGAGAACTAAAGATCAAATTTATTTAATTCTAATTTAACACTCCCTAATGAAATGGTGGAGCAAGCCGTAGTAATTAAAAGGATCAATCTTGTCATGTTATAGTTACATAAAGTAAAAATGGGGGTGCCCAAAGCAACCCCTTGAATTTGGACAAAAAATGATTGAATTAAATTAAAATGACTAAACTATCCCTCATACTGCATTTCTGTTAGAAAATAGAAGAGATTGTAGGTGTATGAGTAGGATAAGTGATTTTAGTGAGGTGTAGTGTAGAGGAGGTGTTTTAGAGTAAAGCTCTTGTCTCTAGAAAAGTCGTATTGTATTGATGTTGCTTGGTTTGCTTCAGTGAGCAAATGAGTACAATGAGTCCTATTTATAGGAGCTAGAGGATCATTCTAGATCCTTATTAAATGCTATGATTCTAGAGTATTCTACATCTATATTTAATTACTCTAGATTTTACATAAGAATTCTCTAGTAGAGAATTTTCTAGAATACTTCTAGCTTTAACTCTCTAGATCATCTCTAGCCTTTTCTACATAAAATATTCTAGATAAATGCATCACTATTTAATACTCCTCCTTGATGCATTTATCGGTGACTCCAAGCATTCTTCGCAGAAACTGGAATCTGTCTCTGGCAGGGTCTTCATGAAAATATCTGCCAATTGTTCTTCTGTTGGGTAGTACTTTATCTCAATATGCCCCTTTGCTTGGACATCTCTCAAGAAGTGATACTTGATATCGATGTGCTTAGTACGATTGTGCTGAACTAGATTTTTAGCCATCGCAATAGCTGACTTGTTGTCGCAAAATATTTGAGTCGCAGAACTTTGCAGTTCTCCCATGTCTTCTAATATTCTTTTTAGCCATATAGCTTGGCATGCTACTCCGGCTGCTGCAACATACTCGGCTTCGGCTTAGATAGTGCAACATAATCTTGCTTCTTTGATCCACATGAGAAAATTCCCGAACCTAGCTTAAATGCGTAACCGGAGGTGCTTTTCATGTCATCTTGAGATCCAGCCCAATCACTATCGCTATATCGAGTTAGTCGTGAGTCAGGAGTTGTTTTGTACCAAATACCATAATTGATGGTTCCTTGTAGGTACCTAAGGAGTCTCTTTGCCGCTCCATAATGATTCTCAGTTGGAC